TCCAACAACGAGGCCGAATATGAGGCCCTCCTATGTGGCCTTCGGCTGGCTGCCAACATGAGGGCTCGGCAGATCCACATCAAATGCGACTCCAAGTTGGTCGTTGGCCAAATCTCAGAAAAATATGAGGCCAAGGAGGGGAGAATGAAACAGTACAAGGAAGCGGCCAAGGAGTTGCTTAAGGTATTTGAGGCACACTCTCTCACTCAAATACCGAGGGCTCAAAACTCCGAGGCCGACATATTATCTAAGCTCTCGGCCGACTCCCCCGAGCACATCTCCAAAATTGCCAAAATCGAGGAACTCAGCCTCTCAAGCATCCATGCAAGCCCCGTTATGAACATACAACAACGTCAGGAGGATTGGATCTCAGATATCACCGCCTTCATCTCCACAGGGCAGCTACCCGAAAATGAGGCCCGCGCTAAACTAGCAAAGCTGAGGGCTCCCAGCTACACCATCGAAGATGGAAGGCTCTACAAACGATCTTACAATGGCATGCTACTTCGGTGCCTTCATCCAGATGAATCCGAGGTCGCAATGGAGGAAGTGCACAGTGGCACTTGCTCAGCTCACCAGGGACCCTTCTCCATGTCCCGAAGGCTCATTCTCCAGGGCTACTTCTGGCCAACCATGGCCAGGGATTGTGCTGACCTTGCCCGGAGGTGCACCGCATGTCAACATTTCCAGAAAACTCCCGGCAGGCCAGCGGTCAACTATGCCCCCATCAGCACCTCTGTCCCCTTTTCTCGATGGGGGATAGACCTTGTGGGCCCTCTGCCGAGGGATACCTCCAACAACAGATACATCATCGTGGCTGTCGACTACTTTACCAAGTGGGTAGAGGCTGAACCCCTCGCCAGCATCACAGAGGCGAAGTGCCGTCACTTCGTCCTCAAGAACATCCTCACAAGGTTTGGCGTCCCCCAGCAGATCATCTCCGACAATGGGACACAATTTGAGGCAGCCCCCTTCTGTGCCCTTCTGGAGGCATGGGGCATCAAACACACCTTCTCCTCCGTTGCCTACCCTCAAGGCAACGGGCAAGTAGAGAATGCCAACCGGACCTTGCTCGAGGGCCTCAAAAAGAAGCTAGAGGCCGAGGGCGGTGGCTGGGTGGAAGAACTCCACAACATCCTTTGGGCCTATCGCACCACCCCTCGGCGAGCAACAGGTGAAACACCCTTCTCCCTCTGCTACGGTTTTGAAGCCAAAGCTCCTACGGAAGTCACCCTTCCCACCCGAAAGGTGATCCAATATGACCCCGAGGTCAACGACAGCAACATGGCCCTCGACCTCCACCTCATTTCAGAACGCCGGGATCAGGCCTTCATCCGGGCAGAAAACTACCGAAGGCAAGTTAAAAGCTACATCGACGCCAAAGTTCGCACCCGAGAATTTCAAGTGGGGGACTATGTCCTCCGGAGGAGGGAAGCCAGCCAACCAACCGAGGGAGGAAAAATGGCACCAAAATTCGAAGGCCCCTACATCATAGCAGCCATCATCAAACTTGGGACCTACAAGCTCAAACGCCCCAACGGGAAAGAAGTCCCTAGACATTGGAATGTACACCATTTAGTTAAGTTTTATCTATAATGTAAGAGCGGCCAAGCCCTCATAACCAGTGAATGTACTATCCTATGGCCCAAGGCCTCCAATTTCGAAGAATGAAGATACATTCAAGACATCAAGCCCTCATACTGACTACAGGCCCCCGGCCTCACCACGAGAGGAACCCCCTCCGGCACCAAGTGCTGAGGGCGGACACCATCAACACCTACAACAACAGTGAAAACACCACATGTTTTCTCTCAAGACCTCTCGGTACCAAGTACCGAGGGAGGGAACTCCTATCACCAACAACAAAGAGCGCCATGTAATTCATTTCCCTTCGGCACCCAGTGCTGAGGGTACATCCCCCCTTCAACATCAAAAAAGAAAAAGATGAGAACACCAAGTGTTCCTATAGAAGACCCTTCGGCACCCAGTACCGAGGGTACACCTCCATCATCAAACATCGAAACGAAGAAAAAACACCAAATGTTTCAAAGAAGACCCCTCGGCACCCAGTGCCAGGGATATGCTCTCCTATCAACTTCCAAACATCTGTGGGGAAACACCAAGTGTTTCATTTGGAGCCCCTTCGGTACCAAGTACCGAGGGTAGACGCCTACATCAACTACAACAAAAGAGAACACCAAGTGTTCCTACAGAAGACCCCTCGGTACCAAGTACCGGGGGCTACACATCGAAACTAACACCAAGTGTTGTTTCTAAAAGCCGTACCCCACGAGGACGCATATACCGAAGGCGCCACCATCGGTGCCGGCGGCACGTAGTGCCCCCGGCCATTTGCAACTAGTGTGCAAATGAAAACCCTTCTTTGAAACGCTTTCCGCGTCATTACCCCCAGGGTATGACAGGCATGAGAAATGCCCAGGATTCGACTTTCAAAAACGGAACGCTATCCGCGTCATCACCCCAAGGGTGTGACAGGCACGAGAAATGCCCAGGATTCGACTTCCAAACCGAAACGCTCCCCGCGCCACCACCCAAGGGTGTGGCAGGCCACGGACTATGTCTAGCGCCGAGGGGACGACTTTCAAAAATGAGGCGCTTTCCGCGCCATCCCCCAAGGGGAGGCAGGTTACGGACCACCATATCTTGTGCCCAGGAAACGTCCCTCGATCCCCTCAGAACTCGGAAGGTTAACCCGAGGGAGGAGAGTCATTGGTGTATTCTGATGGTCTCCTAATAGGCCCAGTCTTACCAAGAAACCAAGTTTCTTAATGCCTTCCCTTCACCACCAACCAAAAAAAAAACAAAGGGGGTGAAGGGGAGTAGACTCAGCGAGAAATCAAAGAGTACACTCCAACAGATCACAACAAGCCGAGGGCTCCCTACGGGAACACCTACGGTAACTGAAGGCTCCTATTTCCCGAAGGATACTACTCGAACAAATAGCAGCAAGGAACGGCTAAGTCCACTGCCTGGTCACCTCCGGTCACACAAACACCGAAGGCTTCAACAATACAAAGGGACTGGACTATCCAAAGTACACTAAGACGGTACCTTCAAACATATACCAAAGGCATCTGTCACGCACTAGTACCGAGGGCCCTTTCCCCATGACAAGGGTCAAATTCTACAACTTTTAAAGTGTATGCCGAGGGCACACACTCCTCATTGGCTTTCTTCACAACAACAGGATTCAACATCAATGTATGCTTAGAAAATATTCTAAGTCCTGAATGAGCAGCCCCCGGGCATCTCGCAAAATAATGTAGAGTCAGAAGCCACCCATCACCCGAAGGCTCTACATCCGGAAGCTTGACATCACTTTACACTTGCAAAAAATTCTAAGTCCTGAAGATTGGGCCCCCGGCCCAATCAATATTACTGCCAAGGGAATATGGTAGCCGAAGGCCAGGCAATACAACAACGCTTAAAAAATATTCTGTCCTAAATGAGAAGCCCCCGGGCACCTCGCAAAGTGATGTGGAATCAGAAGGGATGCCATCTCCCGAAGGCTCCCAAGGGAAAATCTACACTTAGAATATTTTCTAAGACCTACATATCCCCCCCCCCCCCGGTCAACTGCTATACATCAAGAAGGGATGCCATCTCCCGAAGGCTCCCAAGGGAAAATCTACACTTAGAATATTTTCTGAGTCCTACATATTTTTCCCCCAGTCGACTACTCATACATCAAGAAGGGGCTTCACAGTAGCCGAAGGCCTAAAGAATTGGCTAAAGAAGGGGCTCCCAAGGGAAAAACTACACTGAAGAAAATTTTCTAAGGCCTAAAGAATTGGCCCCCCGGCCTAATCAATATTCCAGTTGGGGCTTCACAGTAGCCGAAGGCTACGTGACATACTACGCTTGCCAAAAATTTCTAAGTCCTGTACATTGGGCCCTCGGTCCAATATTCACACATCATAAAGGGATACCATCTCCCGAAGGCTCCCAAGGGAAAATCTACACTTAGAAATTTTTCTAAGTCCTAGGAATTGGGTTACTGCAAACACCCGAAGGCTCCCAAGGGAAAATCTACACTTAGAAATTTTTCTAAGTCCTAGGAATTGGGTTACTGCAAACACCCGAAGGCCCTAAGGTGTGCTATACTTAGAAAAATTTTCTAAGCCCTAATTCCTGCAGAACCCTCGGTTGCATATCCAGCAGAGGGTGCCCAACTACCGAAGGCTTCCAGGTTCAAGCTACAATCAGAAAATATTCTAAGTCCTAAAACATACATTCAAAGGATCAAGGCATACATCCAAAGCAAGACGAAGGCATGTATTCGACAATGAACAAATCCAAAGGAAGCAGATTGTATATCAAAGGCCCGAGGGCATATGTACTCATTCATTCAAAAAAAAAAGAGAAGTTTGATTGTGCTTTACAAAGGGGGCCGAGGCCAACAATTACAACACCAAAAGGGGGGAATACAATTTAAGAAGGGGGAACTGTAGATATCGCCTCGCTCTCGGCTTCATCCTCTTCACCGCCAAGGCCGCACTCCCGGAGGGTCTCCGAGTCTTCAAGAACCGGTCTCTCTTCCCCCTCGGGGAGCGGGATCCTGACATCTGGCTGGCGGGGGGGAGGCCATAAGCCTCGGGACGGAACTCCTCCGGTGCCACCTGAAAGTGCTTCGCAAGCTTCTGGTAGATGAGGCGTTGGGTGAAGAACTCCCCGCCTTGGTAGTACGAGTCGCCCCTCTCAGCAAGCCACATCTTTCCGGGGCCCCCGACCCACTCGTCTACTGAAGCCCCCACCACCAAAGCGAGCCACTCCCTCCGGTCTTCGGCCTTCCACCCTTCGGCCGTGAAGCTGGTCACCGCATCCTCTCGGGCCTTGGAGACGGCCTCTTCTTGAGCCGCGCGGGCTTCATCGGCAGCAATACGGGCGGACTCGGCGGCGGCCTCCCCGGCCCTGGCTAGCCCCTCATTGACCCCTTCGGCCCTTGCAGCCTGCACCCTCTGCTCCATGCCGTCGGTGGCCAGCCGGAGAGAGTCCTCGGCTTCAGCAAGCTTCTTCCTGAGGAGGGCGGCCTCCCCCTCGGCGGCACCCTTGGCCTCCCTCATTTGATCCACCCTTCGGAGGTGCTCGCAGAGGCCCATAAAAGTCTGCAATTCACGAAGGCAAGGATAAGGCATAATGAACATAGTACAGAAGGAAAACATAACAATGAGCAAAGAAGGGAGGGTGACTTACGGAGGCAGCATTCAGGAGGACCTTCGCCTCGAGGGATCCCTCGTCCAGCCGGGCAAGGGCCAGTCGGTCGGCCGACGGCAGCATCTGGCTCATCAGAGCCGAAGGGTTCAAACTGCCCTCCAACACGGAGGCCCCCTTCGGTACTAACGCCTCCAACCTCTCCCGCCCAAAGAACTCCTGATTGATTTGTTCCTGGGGGGTGGAGGCAGAAGCGTGCCCTTTGTCCACAATCACCACCACATCGGTGATCGGTTGTTTGGTAGGGGCGGTGGTCTTCGGCTTCTTGGCCGGGGGCTCGGTCCCCTTTCCAGCAATCTTCTTTTTGACGGGCCCAGCACCCTTGGATCCTCCGGCGCCAGCAGCAGCGCCAGCAGTTTGAGAGGGCCCCTCCCTGGCAGAAGCGCCCGCCGGGGCCTTCTTCTTTCCTTTCGCGTTTTTCAAAGCGAAGAGGGAACCAACGTCCATATTGTTACCTGCAAGCAACAACAAAAAACAGGAGGGTTAGATCGAAGGCTACCAGTTACTACGTCATAAAAAAAAGCGGAATAAGAGAGAACTATCAACGCATCAGTGAACAATTCGGTGATCACCTCCGGCGCCTTCGAAGACCCTATCGAGGGGAGGGTATCTCTCATCCGAAGAGCCCCTCGGCCTGAACTGCCGGAAGCCCGGGCTAAGCAAATCCTCCGGAAGGGTGACTTCTCTGATCTTGACATGCTTGTCAGACCCCTCCGGCTTCTTGGCAAGCACTTTGCCATTCTTCTCCAAAGCTGCGCTCCCCACCTTCGGGTGGCGCCGGAAGCTATTACGGAGTTGGGCCGGGAAGGGATTCTCCTCGAGGCGGATATAGCAGAACCTCTCTTTCCACCCCTTGTGAGACGAGGGCACATCATAAAAAAGCCGGAACTCCGGTACCTGCTGAAGGTTGGCAAAGCCCTCAGCATTTGAATGTCCCCCCCCCCCCGGCAAAGGTTGAAGGACATGAAGAATTGATCGAGTGTGGGCTCGACCCCCCGGCTCTGACACAAGGAGAGGAAGCCGGCCACATAGGAGTGGCTGTTGGGCGTTAGCTGGCAAGGGGCCAACCCCACAAATCTCAGATACTCCAAGAGAAAAGGATGGAGCGGGAACCGGAGCCCCATCTCCACCGAGAGGGTGTGAGCAGCAAAGCACCCCTCGGGCGCGTATCGCAGCAAATCATCCGCCCTGGGCTCCACCACGCGCGCCGAAGGTCCAACCAGCATCTGGGTGGACTGGTATTCTGCCGGGGACGCCTTCGTCTTCAGCTCTAGAGCGGCAGTATTCAAGAACGAATGGCCCTCGGGTATGCCCACCGGCCGCCCGGCATCCACTGCCTCTTGCTTCTTCCTCGGGGCCGCCTTCGTCTTGTGTTTCTTCCCGGGAGCCACACTTATGGGCGTCGGGTCCAATGGCCGGGAGGAGCTGGCTTCCCCGGCACCCCGGGGGGAGGAATGGCAACCGTCACCTTCAGCCTCTCCCTCTCCTCTTCCTGCTCGGCGGTTTGCACGGCGAGGGCAAGCTCTTCATCCTCGTTTTCTTGCTCGAAGCCCTCGGCTTCGACTTCGGCCTGGAGGTCCTTCTCCACTTCCATGGCCACTGCGGCATCACCACCTGCCGAGGACTCCACACTCGAAGACTCCACATCTGAGCATGTCTCCATCTCTACCGAAGGCTCCCCCGAGATATCCTGGGAATCACTCTGGGACGACATGCTGACTCTAGTTCGAAGGCTCGTAGACGCTAGTGTTTTCTAAATTTTCTATCTCCTAACCTAAGGGCACAGTACAGGTAGCTAAGAGGTGAAGGGAAAGCGGGCACTGACCTTGAAAGCAGAAGTTGTGACCGAAGGCCTGAGTTTCTCTCACTAGAATTTTGGGCAGAGCTTCGCTAAGACAAATGATCGCACAAGGGGAAATGGCTCTGGCCTTGGGGTATTTATAGGCGCTGGAATCCGGGCTTGGGCCCGGAAACCGGGCCTCCGGACGGACCGTCATCATTACACACCGTCGTTTCACCCAACCGGTGACTCCGCCCGCGAACAGCCAGCCATCACACGCCACGTGTGCCACCCCCCCAACGGCTATATCCTGTCGTTACATATTCCAACAGCTATATTTCCAACGGCTATATTCTGGAAGCCCCCGGGTTTTCTACTTCACTCCACTTCATCAAGGATAGCCTCCGGGTACACTCACTCAGAAGTGCCCCCGGGTTGGGCCCCACACAGCACATAACAGACGCCTTCGGGATCACTCCTTCAGAAACCCAGGGCTTCATATCAGGGCACCCCTCGGGGATTCCCCCTCAGCACTACAAAACCGGGGTAGCCCCCGGGGAGTTGCCTCATTGACGGATGACCCATGGCACCCAGGTAATGGGAGCCCTCGGGTATCTTCACCACCAACTAATCAACAAGCAGTGGACCCCCCGGTAACAACTCCATTACCGCCCTCATCCAGCAGGCCCTCGATCCCCGAATGGAGGGGCTCCCCTTCGGCGCCACCAGGACATCAACAGCAAGCCTTCGGCTAATCAACACAGGAGTCCTCAGAAGAGAGAGCCTTCGGCATTCCCGTCATTCTCCATTTTTTACCAAGGTTTGACATTTTCGATTCATCATTGGGGGAATCCGGTGCACTCTTTTTCCCTCATTAGGATTTTTTCCCAAAGGGTTTTTTCCTAATGAGGTTTTTAACGAGGCATCCCCCCAAAATGAAACGAAAGACGACAGCCTTCGGCCCACAACAGCAACGCAATTACTCTACTCCTTTTCACCACTTTACAAGTGCCTCAAGGAGTGGGGGACTGGAGGACCCCCTCGGGAAAATCATTAAATTACAAAAGATGTAGAAATTCCAACAAACAACAGAGCAAGTCCTCAAGTCCCGACATGTGGGTAACTGAGGGACTGCCTTCGGCAGGGACATAAAAGCAACAACTCCTCACCAACTTCAGAGATCACGGCGGGACAACATCAAGGGGCAAGCACAAATTACTCCTTTTCCCTCAAGTACCTTTCGGAAAAAGGAGTGAGGGACACTTGATGGAGTATATGGCCCGGGAACCCCCGACCCACAGACTCCTACTACTCCAGCGAAGGCCCAACAGGCCCAAATCACAGCGCCCAGAGTACCAAGCAGTCCGCACTACGCGCCAGGGGTGCCTTCGGCCCCCTGGCCGAAGGCTCCAAATTCTCACAGAACGGGTTTCTCAAGCAGATTAAGAAACTGGGAGAAAACGGCGAAAACAGTAGCCCTCGGCATTGTAAGCCCTCGGCACCAGGGTGCCATCGGGTGGAAGAGCCCTCGGCTACTGCTCTATAGCCGAAGGCATCTCACTCGACAAGATATCCGCCTCACATGCGTACAGATCACCGTACCCCGCATAGACGTCCCATCCAACAGCCGCATTAAATGCGGCCACATGCGGCTGCCAGCACCAACCAGTTGAGGTGACCCATCGGCCAATGAGCGCTTGACACGTGTCCCTGCCCGGCATTTATTGCTACTATAAATAGCACCTCATTTCCTCATTTGTAACCACGCTGAAAACGACATTCATACTGAATACACTCTCTCTCTTACTTACTTATGCTCTGACTTCTCTCTAAGTTATTCTCAGCAATAACCCCTCGGATATATACCCCCCGGGTAGACTATCCATCACACTACCCGATCGAGTACAGGAGGCAGACTGGTCGAAAAAGCCACTTTCCAGACATACCCGACCGAGTACCAGCACATACTCGATCGGGTATACGGGTATTATAACCCCAAATCAGCCCCAAAACACTTCATCTTCTCCAAATTTCCAACCCTATCTCGAACAAAAACGCCCAAACCCCCATTTTTGCACCTTCTCTCTACCATATCTCTTCCAAATCTTCACCAAATCCGCCCATTTCAACGCCAAAACACTCCCCTCATCCTCCTCTACACATTCATACCCACCAATCCCATTCTCCCCCAACTTTCAGAGGTCCGAAAAACCCTACCCCCACCTTCCAATTTCGGTTTTCAAAGGCCAAATTCACTCCAAATGGCTCCAAGGAAAGAGAAAGGGCAAAGCTCAAGCACTAGGGCATCCATTCCGGGCTATGAGGACATCCTCTTCGTGGACAACGAACAACGCACACGCTTCATGTCCACAATTGAAAGGCAAGTTAAACCTTCCCGCTTTTTATGCCTTGATGCCCTAAAGGAATTAGGAGTGTACAAATTGATGAAGAAATTTTTTCACGAGTTGCACACGGATAAAATTTTCAAACTGCAATACAACTCAAATGAAAAAATTATCTATGAATTCCTAAGCTCTGTGCATTTTGAGAACAATGAAGAGGACTTTAGGGATGATAAACTCAGGTTTCGATTGTTTAATCACAATCACACCATCACGAAACGTGAGTTCGCCGAACACTTTGGTATTCCGGTCCCGTACCAAAAGTCTATATCCGACAATACCGCCTTCGGCCACACCCTATGGACCAAGATGACCGGGGAGACTAAATTTAGCTCCTCCCAACTCTACATTAGTCATGTCCAACATCCCGTCCTACGCCTCTTTTTGAAATTCCTTGCCAACTCCTTGCTTGGACGTCCCAACAACCATCATACAAGGATGGGGGATGTATGCCTCATCTCGGTAGCCTTATTCCGCATCTACGTGGATTTCAACCTATGTAATCTCATGTGGGCACATCTAAAAAAAAAGAGCGTGGCAAAGGGTGCTATTGTAGTGGGCGGGGTAATTATTCACTTGGCCACAAAGTTCGGGTATACGGATGACTCTCCTATACCCGACTACTGTTTGATGAACATATCTTGGCTGGGCCACTCGGGCTGTACATCTTTTTCACACACCGTTTATGGTGAAGAAAGGCCCAGAAATATGTACAACTGGCACATCCACCCCAAACCCCTCAAATACTTCCTCTTGCCCAACCCAGAACTCCCCCAACTCCAATTCAAAACAGGAAGAGCGGACCAACATTACCTCTTCCCAAACGCCCTCCCACCTCATCTCCAGGAACCGGAACAGGAACCTCCCCAAAACCAACCCGATTACGAGCCTTATGAGCAACTACATAGCCATCCAACCATGAGCCAGGACTTCCCAGAACAAAGTCAAAACCCTCCACCACCCGACTTCTTTCAACAACTTCTGGAGGGTCAACAACAACTGCTCACGGGAATAACCCAAATGGACAACCGGCTCAACCGATTAGAGGAGGAACAAAGAGCCGGTTTTCAAAGATTGGAGGATGAGCAAAGGGCCGGCTTTCAACGATTGGAGGAGCTCCGGGAGGCCGATAGACATCGGTATGAGGAAGACCAGCATAGGTTCTACGGGCCTATGTACTCTTTTATGGCACAGCAGGGATCCTTCCATACCATGGCGAACCCTCCTCCACCACCCTCATGGTATGACCCCACTCATTGGGGTAACTTTGGAGGATCTGGCTCCGGTGGTGGAGGGTACGACGGCGGAGATGGCGGGGACACTTACATGGGAGATGGTGGCCAAGGGAGCGGCTTTGGAGGGAGCTACTACGGAGGAGAAGGCGGGCACTAGGGACAGTGCTTGATTCAAGTGCGGGGGAGACACTCATGATGGTATGTAATTTTCATTTCTACCTAGCACTATGCATGTAATTCTTTTGAACTTTTGCACACAAAAAACGAAAAAAAAATAAAAATAAAGAGAAAATAAACAAAAGAAAATAAATGCTAGTTAGGTTGAAAACCCAACAAAATGGGCAATCTAAGAAAAAAAGGCTTATAAAAAATGAGTGAGTTGGAGAGAATGGAAAATGAAAAGAGGTGCTAGGATGAAAACCTGAAAAGGCTCCTAGGCAAAATGAGAGATATGAGAGAAATGTTTGTTCTTGCAGGCACTCATTGTATCCTTATGAAGAATATGAAGATTCAAGATAAAGAAGAAGAGAGGAGGAGAAAAGAAGACAACACTAGGAGGCCATTAAACCCAAGATGCTCTTTTGTAATTTAAGTTCAAAACTCATTTTTCTTTGTCACCCTTGGTGGTCTTTGTGTTTGTATTATGTTTTTGTTGAACTGTGGAACTTTTGGACAAACATTGACACTTGTAAACATTTGATCTTACTCGAGACGAGTAAAGGTTTAAGTGTGGGGGAGTTGATACGTTGGTAATTTCCATATCTATGTTTATGTTTTTAATTAGTTTTGCTTGACTTTTACTTTGGAAATTACACACTTTTGGTGTAATAGATTAGATTGTTAAATTCTTGTAAATAGGTTAGATTAGATATATTCTGAGCTTAAGCAGGTTTTGGTCACTCAAAGTACAGTTGGTGAACCCAAAAAGTGAAGAGAAGGTGCAAAAGTTCAAAGACAAAAGAAGATCCTGAATTTTGGTCTATACTCGGTCGAGTATTAGCTATACTCGATTGGGTATTAGGTTGGAACTTCAAATCGGATCAAATCCGAAGACAAGGGAACATGCATGGAAGATTTTGGCCACGATTTTATGTCTATACCCGATCGGGTAGACCGACATACCCGATCGGGTATGCCTTTGAATTGCAAACGAAGATCGGTCGAGTATGGCCCGAATACCACTTTCTAAGCATACTCGACCGGGTATTCATATATACTCGATCGGGTATACTCTTAGAAAATAGCCTGAAACCGGTCGAGTATGCCTCGGATCGAGTGTTACACACGTACTCGATCGGGTACCATGTACATACCCAATCGAGTACCCGAATCCCATCCCAAAAACCTATAAATACACCTCCTTTCCTTCACAAAAAGATATCCAATCCCTTGTACATCTAAGCTCAGTATAGAATAGCTCTTTCTTTATATTTTTCATCATGTTTAGTCTCCAAATGAGGAGCTAAACTCTTCCATCTTGGTTTTGCTACTTTGAAGCTTAATGAATTTGTAAGTTGTGAGTTATTTTCTTTAATCTTCTTCCTTGAATATTAATTCTTTCTTTCAAAATACTATCTCTATATCAAAGTTGGGGAGTGTTACTAAGATGACAATTAGTTAACATCTTGACATTGGTTATAGTAATAGCTATTTCTTCCTCTATGATAATATTGGGGAGTGTTACTAAGATGACAATTAGTTAACATCTTGATATTAATCATAGTAGGATTCATATATTTTAATATTCTTCCTTGAGTATTAATTAATTCCTATTCATATTTCATGTTAATATCTTAAACATTACTTAAAGTATCAACTAGTATTGTTTCTCATATTAATTATTACTAGAATCAATCGGTTAATACGCTTGTTATTAATCCGGTTCTTTCAACGGTAGTAAACTTGGAATATTAATGCATGCATCTCATGGTTAATATGCCAAGGGGAATTAATTATATTGATTAAACCAATAAACCGCTTGTGTTGAGGTTATCAATCTCAATCGTTTTCATCTTAAGTTTATTGCTACTATCAAGTTAATATACGGCGCTTGTTCTATATTGACTCGATAGTAAGTTTTATTAATGAACGCATCTCGTTATTAATAACTACCCTCGATGAACTGGATATACTCCTCGATTGAGTATTCGAGAGGAAGATAGCTAAAGATATAACCGGGATCGACGAACATTTCATTAAGTGGATAAAAGCAAGACCAAGTCTTCATCTCATTGCATTAAACTCATATAGGTTGTTTATCTTAGTGTTGTTAAAACAAACAAATCTAAACCCCCCCTTTGTTACTACTTTTATAAAAGAAAAATATTCCTTTCCCTGTGGATACGAACCTTACTACACTATACTACGTATTAGTGTTTAGTATTGAAATTATTTTGACGCACCGTGACAAAGTGCTCGTCAGTGCATCATGCGATTAATGTCCAACATTTGCATATATCTTACCAAGTTATTGTGTGGTTATGTTACATAATGCCCAATTATTTTATTTATCCGTAGAGGCCTAATGTCTTTATTTTTATTTGAAAGTTTATTCAACTCTAAATCTGCATTTTTTCTTTATCGATGTCAACTTTTTAAAATGCAAAGTTAGATGTTATTACTCACAACAAATATATTCTAAATTTAGTTATGTATTGCATGTAGAGTGAGTAGGTTTTTAATTTCTTTGATGATAAAGTGTTAGAATGTATATATTTCGTAGTAACGTTTTTATTTGTATTCATGTTTAGTCTTGTATTTCCTTATGATTTATGTTACAAGGTTGTATTATTTGAAGGAAATAAAGTATAGATAATTAGGTAGGTTGAACACAATGGAAAACATGGTGTATATCTAAAAACTTTATGAAGGCATTCTACAATAGAGATGAGCAGTTAAGACCCTTTGTTTGAACTATGAAGAATGGGAGAAGAAATAAATTTGTAGCATATTGTTCAATACCTGAACAACACCAACACACCTAACGATTAATAAGTGAATACACCTTTATCAATTAGCTTTATCACAAGCTTATGTTTCTATGATCTCAATCTCTTCATACTTTTGTGCAATCAAACTGTGTTTGAATCTTTTGTGTTGTGCCTAATTAGGAAAGTTTAGAATTTAGGAAAGGTAGCCTTTGTAATAGAATATAAGAAAACTTGTGCTAAATACCAAATATATGTACCAAGGAGCATATATAGAAAGTGATTGAGAATAGGGAATGTACTCCATCATTTGTGTTTATCTCTAATTCATAAGAAATTATACCAAAGCATTAGCCTTAAATAATAACATGCTCTTGAAGTATTTAATATCCAATACTTGATGCATTTATATAGTTTTACACGTGCAGGTCATACATACGACCTATTTTATTTTTAGTAATAGATATTCTAAATAGTTAATATGTATCTTATTATTTGTCATGAAATACAGTAGCATTTATGCATTACTAACCTAGACATATCTTAACACGACCTTAACATTTTTGGTGTTTTTTTCCTTTGTTTTTGGAAGAGGTTGGTGGAACTGATTCAATGTCTTCAACTTGGCCTTCCTTGGACTGTGTTTCTTTTTTTTCCTCCATAAAGAGCTTCCCTTTAGCTTCCGGGGAACTTGTAAGCGCTTTATCTTGAACATCATTGTGTAGAGAACTACTTGTTGTTGGAATATCGCCGGAGAAAGAAAGACACAGCACAGAGAAAATTTTTCTACCCTTTGATTGTGAATTTGAACGCCCTAATTTGAGTGAAATTGTGAAACTGAGGCCCCTCAGTTTGTCATTCAGTTGGTTGCAATCGACAGAATCTGGAGTGTCACAAATTTCAAGCATTCGCAATACCTTATACACTTCATTAGTGAATAGAGTGGTTTCTAGCACCCCGGTAGCATCCGAAATTTCAACACTTAAGCGAAACCTGTTATTATATAATATATGGTATTTAGCTGTACACGCAATGTGTTAAGAAAAAGAATAAAAAGTTGGACTGCATACCTCTTTGTGGTGACACCGTTTTTGTTCCCACAATGTAGACACTGAAATTGAACACCTTCAAGGAAAAAATTAATTGTTTTATTGCAGCCATTGCAGCCTATGTAAAACGGAATAAATCCAGATTCCAACAAAATTAAGTTCCCTTGAATCCAGAATACTTTAGCCTGTATGAGTGACAGAACAATGAGCAATTCATCCATCTTTTTATAAAAACAAATGAACCAACTATTTTGCCTAATTGAGAGTAGAGAATACCTCATCCAAAGACTGTTTCATGTCACAAATATTTGTTTTTTTTTGCAAATCTGGATGTCCAAATCGAATAAGAGAGTCCATGTACAATTCTTCACTGTTGATTTGTTGAATTGCTTGTGCATTTGCAACTCTCCTATCAATCAAAAGACATCATAAGACATTATATGTTTTAGTTCTATAATAGTTTAATACGGAGTACATTTTTTGTAATTAAAAATGTGTTGATAGTAAAGTGAAAGTGTATCAAAATTCAAAAACCATTCTTTTAGAGCAGCAGCATGTTGGCCTTTAGGGTTTAACTCTATGCTTGTGTCATATCTTGTGGATAGTGATAGTCCTGCAATTACAAACAGATGTATTGAAAAAAAAGTAAATAAACTATTACAAATTAGTTATCTTTTTAGGAAATAAAATATAATATATTCAAATAGAATTGTAATTATGGATGTAGAATACTTATAGACTTGCAACGAAACATTTATAGTATTGTTTACAATAAAAAGTTGACAAAAGGTAAAAATATAATAAAGTAGTAAAGCTTTAAATGTATGACCTTTATCTAGAAAAACTGACAAAAGAACTTAACTTAAAAAAATAACTATAGTTCGCAAATATTTTTATTTGTTCATTTGAGTTACAAAAGATATTTGGGTAGTCCTTAGTAAATAATTCCTTATACTCTTACTTGAAACATTAAACATGATATGTACTTTTTATATACCTTTGTCTCTACCATTAGCTATTCATTATTGTCATAATATATACAGATTTAAGTGTATGTTGTTTTCATTGTATTATGTTGTTGAATCTTGGTTTTTCTTATTCGTTATGTAAAAAAAAAATAGAGCAAATTTAGTTTGAATATCAGTTAATTATTTTGTTGTTGTTCCTATTGTTGTATATTACCTTTTATGAAATTAATAAACTAACTTTAAAAATATGATTTCTATCTTTTGATTTGTTATCATACGAAAATTTATATATTGGTGTATGTTGATTTTTTCTTATACAGGAGTAGAAATTAATCATAGGCGGGTTTTGTTTTCAAAAATGATTTGTGTTCTTTATATATTTACTATTTAAGTAAATTGATATAACAGGAATAGGAGTATAGTAAAAGTACATTTACCAAGAGTTAATGTTCTCATAGTTATAATAATGGTATTGATTATAAGATGTCACCTTGATAAGTAGTCACAGCAACACGCCTAGCAAGTATAATGGGATGTATTCTCACTTCCAGTAACTTTTGAATTTCAGCGCGCGCCTTGAATGCTAGCACACTCATCCCACATTGTGAAGATGATTGGTTGTGATCTAAAAACATAATTATTTTATTTAGTATATCTTTTTTGCATTTAATTAGTTTAAAACATTTCAAATATTTGATACTTACTCTTCATCAAGAATGACAAAATCGTTCGCTGCCTTTTTTTCCTATCAGTAATAACAAACTCCCGCGGGAGTTTTTTGAAAATGGCACCAAACACATCTAAAAGTTTAAATTATTGTGTATTAGTATATTAGTAAACGAATATATTATCTATCATAGTTAGAATTCAAATTTGCTTTGAAAGAAAATTACTTACTAATCAATTCCCTCTTCGCCATGGAGCCATAGAAGCAAGAAAATGGTGTAGTAATAATTTCTGAATTTCCCTGCACAACTATTTTATCCTCCTCATCCACATCTTGAATCAATGTCCTTCTGTTGAGCGACCAAAGAAATTTGTAATGTTCATCCGACACACTGAAATTTGCATACACCTCAGAGACCCCCGCATTAGAAATGAGATAGGTCTTGTAAAGATCTAATCTTTGATCCAAAACAGAAATATCTTGCCCATATGCCATCGCCTTTACTTTATTACCCTGTGAAGAATGTTCGCGCATGAGCATTTAATTACTTATCCATTGCTTTATCTCTAATATTTAACTTACATTAATATCCTGTAGCACAAATGGCTTGTAGAATTTTCCTGGATTCTTTGTTGATTCTTTAATGTTGAGCTTCTCCACAACAGAAACTTTGCAAGTCCAAGAGTTCGTATGAGGAGTTACATCACTTATTAATAGTGAGTCACCCATTTTTTTGCTATCCTGAAAAAAAACTTGATTAAATGTGAACGCAACATGCAATAATATCGTAACAATCTTATCACATAATTAAGAAATAGAATTTCTATATTACCTGTAGTTAACTGATTTTTATGAAATTTGAATTGTTAATTAATTGGCTCAATGTATTGCAAGATTTCTTCATACACTATGTTTTCTGTCATATCTGTTACCTCTTTGTCGTTGTTTTCATGTAATAGTAGCATTTTTATTGATGATGCATTTTTTGCTCTTGACATGGCGACATATAATTGCCCATGACTAAACACAAGTTCTTTCAAAAAGATCCCAACAAAATCTAATGTTTGACCTTGTGATTTATTAATTGTCATCGCAAAACACAATTTAATTGGAAATTGATTCCTTTTAAAGGGGATAGAACATTTTTCATCTTTAGATGTTTCGAGAGGGATTCGTGGAATAAAAACGTGTTTTCCTTTGTGTTCACCTATTGCAATGAAGCAACTTATTATATGATCGCCAAAAGAATCACATATTAGTCATGTTCCATTACATAATCCCTCTTTTGGGTTTATGTTTCTCAATAGAATGATTGGGCAATTTTTCTTGAGAGTTAAACAATAAGGTGGCATCCCTGTGAATGTTAATGTGTGTAGGTAGTCTTGACAATTCGAGTATTTAGATTCAATTGGTTCATCATAACTCAGAAAAGATTTTGCATCTCCTGGGAACGTAGAAATTAAATCCGAATTTATTTTATCAACAAATTCATTCTTTGTAGTTAAAATGGCTCTTTCAATTAGGAAGTATGGGTTTTTATGAGTTTGATGTAAATTTGGATAAACAGATTTATATAAATATGTCAATGGATCTTGATTTTTTGAACACGATATTAAAAAGTGTAAAGGAATTTTTATTTTGTTATTTTTTAAACTTGGTTTTAGTGATCCATTTCCTAGCTTCATTAAATATTCAGAAAATTGAGGATCTGTTAAAGCACGCATATTTTGTCGTAATGGTAAACGAATTATTTGAGACCACACTGTTAAGGATTTTACTAAGCTTGCATCAATGAAGTCTTCTTTTTTTTCCCGATCGTATCACTGGGAGAGTTTGCCTTAAATCTCCACCAAAAACAATCACCTTTCCTCTAAATATATCATTTGAGCTCATCAAATCACGTAGGGTTAAGTCAAGTGCTTCCAGAAGTTTTCTGTGAGCCATGGAGACCTCATCCCATATAATTAATCTTGCTTCTTTAAGTAGCCGAGCCTCTGCACTTTGTTTGCCAATATTGGAAACATATTTATTTTCTCCATCAATGGGTAACTTAAATCTAGAGTGTGTTGTACGACCACCCGGGAGAATTGAAGCTGCAATGCCAGAAGTTGCTGTCGTGGGAGCAATCCATTTTTTCGACCTTACGGAAGCTAGCAATGCTCTGTACAGATATGTCTTTCCGGTTCCACTCGGACCATCCACAAAGTAAACAGCTCCCGAGTTGCTTAATATCTTTCCCATTATTGTGTCAAACACATTTTTTTGTTCCACATTCAGCGTATTGACACTTTGAAGATCTAAGGCACTAACATTTATACAATATTCGGATGTTATTTCTCGACTTTGGTTTTCCATCATTGTGGAAGAAACATCGAAGTCAACTAATTGGAAATCATCCCCTGACTTTCCAAATTTTTCCAAAAGACCACCTATCAAGCGTAACACAATGGATTCGATCTCTTGTTGGTTGTATAAACATGTCTTATTGAAATCATCACATGAGTAAGCTTTAAACTTTTTCCATAAATCTCTTGGATCTGAGACATTACAGAATATCAAGATGGTCGCAAAAAGTTTACGCAAACTTTGTGGTAACTGATATGTAATTGCTTCACTTAAGGCAGCTTCAACACTTGAATTTCCCGCAAGAAGTCCTAGCCTTTCTGCCGCTTCTCTAAATGTAGTTGTTACCACACCATTTATCTGTTTGAGATAATCAAAGGAGGTTGGACCTTTTATATAACGTTCACCCTCAGCTGGATTTACATTAACAACTCTCCCAATGACATGCTTGCTCTTTCGTTGTGTCCAAGATCTGCTCGTACTTGACCAAACAAAGTACTCTGGGAATTGTATATATAATAGGCTTAGACTTCGGGAAACCTCATTTGTAGAATTGATCTTGAAGAATTCAGTTAACATAGTTTTGGATTGCACATCATCCTTTAAAATGGTTGTAATTCGTTGAGCACCACAAAAATTGATGTATTGAAAATTTTCTAGGTGAACTTGAACCTGGAAAACGGATGGATTCATCTCTGCAATTGGAAATGAAAATATTCTCCAAGCAGCTTCTGGAGCGTAAACCCATCGTGCCTTTTGATATTCTTGTATCTCATCAATTTCACCGACACCATCACAATCCGTCAAACTCATGCTCACTCTATCATGTCCGTTGTAAACATACTTATATAAGTACTTCACAGACTTTATTGAAACACAAAGCTCGACATTCATATGACAATCATACTTCAATAGTAGTTGTGGGTTATAGGGTACTATCCATGAGTTGTCAAGACAAATGCCTTTGATGTCAACATTCATTTCATTTTGACTTCTCCGATAGATTGGGAATGCATCTTTATCAAATTTAGTCGCACTACTATATGGACGAGGGTAATTATTCTTACAAGCTAGAGGTAGATTTTTTCTTCTTTGAATCATGCAAGGGCACTTCGGATTTAAATTACCACAAGGGTCATGTATCATGTGTTTCTTAACAAGAGCATACAATCGAGGTTCTTTTATTCTAGAAGGGATTTCCACACATATCATTTGATCGCAAAGATTTGGTTGAGATATTTTTGGATTAGGTTTTAAAATGATTAAAAAATGTGCATGTGGTAACCCACGCTTTTGGAACTCAATGACATATATATATGCAGCAACTTCACCAAAAAACTTTTTTTTTAACAATATCATTTTTTAGCTCTTGTAATTTGGCGTGAAATATTCTAGAAACTATATCTGGTCTATTTTGGGCTTCATCAACATATTCAAGTAGTTCTTTGATCTCAGGCCAGGTAGGATTACAAGTCATAGTCAAGAAAATATCAGGTTTTCCAAATTGTTACACTATAGCCAGAGCGTCTAGATAGCGCTTTCGCATATCACGAGGTCCACCGATAAAAGAAGCGGGTAAAATGACTCTCCGTCCTACATCATTTCCGGACACCATTCCAATATTCATACTATCGACAATTCCATTATATGTTTCAGATCTCAGATCATGTTGTCGAAGTCTGTAGTAATCTAGTCTTTGTGTTTCTATTTTCACATATATATCAACAATAAATTGTTGTAGTAATCTTCCTGTATGTAACAAAAAAACTCCTATCGCTTGGGCGTACTTGTAGCTTGTAGGAGTAATATTCTCTACAAGAAACAGATTTTCTTTTTCGGTTATGTTGAAAGTTCTTTTCTTCTTCTTGGATCAATTCATCCGGATTGTTTATTAAATTGCTTCCTGGTGTGATAAAGTGTGGATTTGTTATGGTGGTAGCATCTTGTGCACTATTCAGTGTAACTTTTTCAATGCCTTCATGCCAACCAATGTCTCCTTTAGGAAATAACAATGAATATTGTAAAGGATCGTAACACCCATAATAATAATGGATGTTTTTTTATTGTCCACTATGAGCATAAACTCTAATGTTTCGTATTCCCGGAATATCCTCTGAGTCATCAATCCAGATTGCCGCAACTTGAGAAGTTGAAGGGGTATTATAGACTCTTTGATCTAGACTTGCGTGGGAATTCAGCTTAATTCATTATCACAAGAAACATCACCTAGGTTTTTAAAGAATTCCGCATATGGATTAGATGATAGGACATCAACTAAGGTAGTGACTGTATCCTTATCAAGTCTATCACATGTTGCAAGCCGTTGTGCAATTTGATGATCTGTATCGAAAAAGTACATTTGGAGATTGTGGGGTGGAGAAGTATCTGGGATTAAATCATCGATGTAATGATAGATTTGTCCTTGCACTTTGAATGTATATATCCCTTTGTTTCTACGGCACAAATTTCTATCGTAGTCATAAATACCTATAGAAGTGAAGGAGAATGTGTTGTTGTTATATGTTCGAATTGAAGCTTGGAATTGTCTGGATTGATAACTTTTCCCAATATATAAATCCCTTAAGGCGGAAGGCATTTCATTTGATACAAGAACAACTTGTCCTTGGCAACAACAAAATCCCAATGATACAAACTGTATACGTTTTGCATCACAGTAGGAACAATTAGGAATTTTGGGTAACAAGTAAGGTATGTCACTATATTTATATATGGTAGAAGTATCTGCATTTTATATATAATTCAATAATTGCAAAGATGTCAATGGTATGTGTGATGTTGTGAAGTTAATATTGATAGATAATAATTGGAGCAGTTAATTTGTATCAATTATGTGATATCAAATGTTTGGTGTGTAATTTAAAAAAAAAGCAATAATTAGTTAGGTATGTTGAAAATAACTAATTTTGAAGGTAGTTTTGAATTAGAAATTTTGAAACCTCTAGGAGGAAGACTATTTGCCTCGTGTTGAACATCATTTGTTTGAGCAGCGATAGCTTTTTGTTTGTCCTTGCGCTCCTCATTGTTTCGTAGCATACGCCTAAAGTTTGTCCTGTTGTGGTGTGCTTGGCTGCTATCGTTTCTTGTTGAACATTCACCTATTTCCATTGCTAGGATGTAAATAATACTTTAAGATTTGAAGGTTTTGTTCAGCTTTGTGGTAGTTTGTGGTTTTTAAAGATTTATGCTATGAGTATTGGCTCCTGGTTGTTTTGAATAAACGAATTATTAGCATGCAACTTCACAAACAAG